CTAGCAAACTGTCTCCACCACAGACGCACAGCCAGCTCACAGCACCAGCACCGGCGCCATCAACCTGTCTCCACCTGCGCAGCCAGCTCATACCACCATCACACCCACCGGCACCCAGCACCCAGCACCGACACCAGCAACCACACCAGCACCGGCACCCAGCACCCGGCACCAGCACCGGCACCAACAACCTCTCTCCACCACATGCACAGCCAGCTCACAGCACCAGCACCAACATCAGCGCCCGGCACCAGCACCGGCGCCAGCAACCTTTCTCCACCACGCGCACGGCCAGCTCACAGCACCCACACCAGCACCGGCGCCCGGCACCAGCATCAGCAACCTGCCTCCACCATGTGCACAGCCAGCTCACAGCACCAGCACCAACACTGGCACCCAGCACCAGCAACCTGCCTCAAAAACACGCACGGGCAACTCATTGTTTTCTGAAGCAAGAACCCCATACCTTCGCTATCTGGGGAAAAACAGTGGCTGCCTCCCACTGGGCATACCACGACCGGGGCCTTCAAACCAGTGGATCTGGACCGGACCCTGCACCAGCCGTAGACACCTCCCCGACCCCATCCCCGACCAATCGACTCGTCGAGACCCCTAGGCGGCACACTCGAGACGGGGACCATGATTTGCCTATTCCCCAACTGATCCTGAGGATGATGGAGGACATCACTGCGCCGGCCATTGGGTCGAAGGCGCTATGCACAAAGACCCGACCTCGATCGAACGGTGTCGCGCCCGTGTGGCGTGTCGGAGCCGAGCTGACCGGCTCGGCCTGGGTCTTTAGGTTTAGAAAGACTATCTTCCAGCTCTATGATGTCTTAGAAAGACTAGTAATTATACCAGCACTACCTATTTCCCACGGTTCTTGAATCGGGACAAAACACAAATCAGGCGAGTCTATCAACCACATCGTCACATCCAGCATGATTCTGTAGGACCTGACGAGCCCGGCGGTTTTATGCTCTAACATCATGTCGTTAGGGGATTACCTGCCTACGAAATGCTTCGAATCTTAGGGGAATTGCTTTGGAAGGACAAAAAAAACTAAGGCCATGAAGTGAAGTGTGATTTGACAACCTTGTCAAACTCTGTGTTTCTGCTTGGGTGTCTTTTGCTGTTGTCTTCTCATTCGCGGTATTCTTCCGGTTGACTGTTCCAAGTTAGTGGTGGGGAGAGAGTCGAGTGGACCGGCGGAGTACATATATGAAGTTCCATTCTAGAAACAGTTGCCAAGTTCTTGGTAACCATGTTCACACATCAGGGAAGTACTGCATATTATTTTATATAGGCTTTGGAGGTTTTCTCTAAATAGTTTGTGTTCTAATTGATGGTTGCCAGGGTTGCATACCAAGCCCACACGAAGAACTCAACAAGTCAGGTCAAGGACACTTGGTGTATGTCCATTTGATCTTCAAAAAGCTCAACCCAACACTCTGGAAGTTTTGGTAATCTCCTCCATCCCTCCGCTGTTGCTGGGCACGCTCGAACAGTGATCGCACAATGACTATGATCCAAAGAACTTAACTGGTTGGTGGTTTCAACACCCTTGGAAACATATACGAGTCAGTCGGCTCAATCATCCCAGGTAAAGGTTGAACGTAAACATATTCCAAACCACCTAGTTATTCGAGACTATTCCAAACAAACCAACAAACCAACAACCTTTTGGAGGTTTTTCCAAAGCACCTCCTAGTCAAGGTCGCAGTAGCAGTATTCCTCCAACAGGTGCTCCGTTTGGACCATCGGTGCCGCAAAAAAAAGAAACGACCAAACACATTGGAGGGTCCTAGTTGTCAATAAATACCCCTTATATCTAGCTATAGTATACCTGGACCCTCCGACCATGGTGTCCTGGCTGGACTAGCCCACACTACCGGCCGTTCTTCCAGACAGGGCACCCCGATGGTCGGGTCCTGGTAGCTCTCCACGTTTGGTCGGATCCCGCGGTGCTGAGGCTTCCGAACTGTCGCCGGATCCGGCGTGCCGCTGGCGCTCGCAGTATTCCACTCGCTGGGAACAACCTCGGGGGCACCGAACCGAACCGTCGCCCGTAACCCGGTCGTCTTCGACGGTCTGATATACACCACTTCCCGCAAAACTCACATGGACCGTCTGGACTCACCTGGCCCCCTTGGAAGATTGCTTTCCTCTACCAACCAATGGTTGGTCCATGTTCATTTGCAGGGGAGTATGGCGTATGGCCTCGTGTGTCCGGTCCGTGCCAATGGCGCTGTGGCCTCGTGTGGACCTGTCTGTGGTGAAATATTGTCCGCTCAACAGGGAAGAACAAAGAGGAAATACTAGGAGCAAAAAGCTACTAGGAAAAAGGGGCGTCGCTACTAGGAGCGTCCAACCGTTACTGGTCGTGTCTCGTGTCAGACCTCGATCTTCCAACCGTTCCGATTGGCGCTTTGCCTTGCCGATTTTCCAGCCGCCAATTTAGGCAACACATGAAAGATAGTGTGGGATTGAAACGACACTCCAAACTGGTGAACCAAGAGGATCATCCAGAGAATGATTGAATGTCCACATGGACTCTTATGTACCACTCGGGGTCGGGCGAGGGATCAAAAAAACACAAATGAATCAAACAAACATATTTCAGGGGATCAATAACAAATAAATAAATCAAAAGTAAAATAAACGGATCCAAAGTGCGGAGGGAAAAGCAATCTTCCATGCGAAGCAGTGATCAAAAAAACAAAACAAACACATCACAAAAACAAACCGGAAATCAACATTCACTCACTCATTCATTCGTTCATTCATTTGCATGTTATGTTAGTTTATTTCATTTCATTCATGCATTCATTCACTCCTTCATTCATGCATTCTTTATTTCGTTCATGTTCATGTTCATGTTCGTTTCATTTCATCTCATTTCACTCCTTCCTTCCTTCCTTCCTTCCGTCCTGCCTTTCTGCCTTTCTTTGTTTTGTTTTGATGCATGTTTATTTTTTTTTGCTGTCTGTTTATGCTTTTTGATGCATGTTTACTTCTTTTTTGATGCCTCTCCCTTCGGGGTCCATACTATGCATCCCGATCGCTGGAATGCAACAAATGCAACCAAGCTGTATGAGTTGCAAAATCAAAACGCCATCCCTCCGTAGCTGCTTTTAACCGCATCATGCGATACAATCCTCTGCCCAATATACAGGTCATCCTGGATCCTCACTGCCCAACCCAGTGCCAAAATCAAAATGCCATCTTTGCCAGAATCCAAATGCCATCTACAAACCATTTACACCATAGCCATCGTTTCCGCAATACTCCCCGTCTTAGCAAAACAAACACACCTCTTCAAACGACTCCAAACTACAGACGTTGTGGATGCAAACAAACCTACCCAAAACCACAAAAAAATCAAGGGAGGCCAGAGGACTCTTGTGAAGCACGACCAGACGTGCCCGTGTATACACTTATAGCCCAATTTTGTCCCTATAGTGGAATCCCCAATCATCACTCTCCATTCTTAACCCCGAAGAAGCTCCCCAGGCGGTGGGGAAGTGGATGCAAGCCCGGGCCAAGGCAGCAGGTCCGGAGACTCCACTTGTTGCAGCGGTTACTCCCGCTTAAATGTTGCTTGTCTTTTCTTGCTCCCACCTTTGATGTGCTCTGGCAAGGCACGATGGGCCAGCCAGCTGCCGCCAGATGTGCGCGCAACTGATGCGTCCGCGCCGTGAGAGGCTCCGCCAGCAGCAGTGAGGCCGAGGTGTTTGATGCGTTCGATGCATGGAGGGCGAGCACGGTGAAGCCTGAGTGACGTGAGCACGCTCTGTCGGGAGGGTGGGCCACATTCCTGGATTTGAAGTTGCCAAAACATGATAGATTCCTATCGAAACGATTCGTTTAGACCAATATTAGTCTAACATCGATTTCTTGGTACGCCCTACTCGCCCTGCTCTCTTTCTCTCTCTCTTTCTCTCTCTCACTTTCTCTTTACGTTTCTCTTTCTCTGTCTTTCTCTCTCTACAGCGCGCCCTGAGCGCGCCTTTCTGGAGCGTGTTTCAGAGCACGCCAGAGCGCGCCGTCCAAAGCACACGAGAGCGCGCCCCCTGCTGTCTTTCTTTCTTTCTGTCTTTCTTTCTTTCTTGCTTGCTTGTTTTCTTTCTTTCGTTTCTTTCTCCGAGTTGACAGAGTTCAGGAGGACAAGGCCTGGACACGGAGCCTAGCCACAGAGTTGACAGAGTTCAGGGAGGACAAGAGGAGCCACACAGCCCAGCCACAGAGTTGACAGAGTTCAGGGCCCGGGCAAGAGGAGGACAAGAGGAGGACAATGTGACAAGGCCACAGAGAACAGCCGCAAAGCCGAGTTGACAGAGTTCCTTGGCGCGAGGAGGCCAAGGCCTAGCCACAAAGCCCAGCCACAGAGCCCAGCCACAGAGTTGACAGAGTTGAGGGGCGTGGCCAAGAGGAGGACAAGAGGAGGACAAGGCCCAGCCACAGAG